TGGCAAATGTGAGATGGGGAGACAACATTGTTGTTATTGGTGGTGCTGACAAACGATGGCAACCATTAGATACAGTTATCATTTACAATGTCAAGACAGAACAAAGTCACATGCTGCCATCAATGAGATGTAAGAGGTGGCAATGTACTGCAGTTGTCATTGAAAACAACATTGTAGTCCTGGGAGGGTGGGGTGATCAATATCAGACCGTGAAGTCAGTTGAAGCTTTCAATTTTGAAAGGTATTCTTGGGAAGAACTTCCAGAAATGTCTGAAGCAAGACAGAGGCACACTGCTGTTGTTGTGTGAACAATGTAAAAAAATAGGTTAATAAACAATAGCGCTGATCAATCAATGTTTATGATTACTCTGAAGAAATAATAATTGTTAAATTTTCTGTCATATTTTATTGCATTTAATGTCGTCTAATATATTAATAAACGTGTCTCAAAAGAATATTTGGCTTTATTTTTTTGTCTCACACCAGTGTTTTAAGATCAGAGCAAGGGCACCTGAACTTTTGAAACAATTTCTAGTGGGTTGATGCTGTTAATTTGAGAAAATCATCAATTTTAATTTGAATCTTGGCTCGAAATTTGAATTCTCTGTGAATTCCATTCGAAATTAAAACCCTGCCAAAAAATGTTTCTTTTGATATCGAAAGAAGTCCTACAAATTACTTACAAAAAAGAAAATTAGTTTTCAAAGACCCGAGAGCACCCTTAGAGTGTATATGCAAGGAAAAGTGAAAATTCTGAAATTGTTCAATTTCGTAAGAATTTGATTCACTTGACTTGGTAAAAATAAGTTTTGTTTATAGTTAAAGCGCTGCGAAAGTCTTCAAAACGGTCGAAATAATATGAAAATTACACGTTTTTCAGTCGTAAACTGTTAAAAAACTGGTGTCGAGAGTTTCAGGCTTGTGCATGACGTATGCAGTGTTGTGACAAACGAAGCGTTTGCCTGAAGAAAAACAAACTATATTACTATTACATCAGCGAACGGTAGCTTGGAGATTTTTCTAATCTAAAAAACCGATAACGAACGGTTTGAGCTCCGACAAATAAAAAACAGTCGCCAGACGCCAGTCCTAAGGGGTCGTCTGTTGTACAACTCTATCAGTCTGAGCTGGTTGCTTATGTGAGGAAGGCGGACGGAGACGGTATCTTGCGCCTTGCGGGAAACTGCGCAGCAACCACGTTCAGTGAATAGGGAATCAAATCAAGCAATTGCGCAAAAGAAATGAATACAGCGCAATATTATTATATATTGACAAATGCGTGTATTGACAAAATTATAAAGCAAGAACAAACCAGAAGCCTCACAGGAGAATAAAATGAGCTTTTGTAGTTGAAATGTGATCATAATCTATTATACACCATGACCCTATGAACTTGCGTTCTTATAGCTCCTAGCTTTATAGTATAATTTGGGCTAGTCGCGCATCTTGCAAATGGCAAAACCATACATTTTCAGTGATAAGGTATTAAATTACAAATAACAAACTTAACAAGCCCATATCAGCGCAGTTTATTCACCAACCATGCACAAACGGCGCGCAAACGAGTCATACGAGAAACTTAAAATTATTATTAAACAACGCGAGCTCAACTGTTAAATATGACTGATTATCAATTTATCATGACGGACAAACTGCGATAGTTCGATCTTAAATCCCCTATAGGTTTATATTATTTTAATTGTATACAGTTTGTTTCTCTCAGATGTATATTAGTAATATTACATATATATCCACTGTAATGGGAAATCGCTGTATAGCTGCAACTATAGCTCTTTATAGGAACTATTTAAATATACGCAACAAAAATATAAAATAGAAATACCGCAAGTAACATAATCAGAAAAGCGTCAATATTTGCGCATCTATCAGGTGAAACCTCATTGCCCTAATCATTCAGTTCAGTTTTCAATTTTGAATTGCAACAGATCACGAATGACTGATCGTCGCATTTTGACATGATTCTATTCATTTAACTCGTTTACTGCATCTAAAATACGCAAATTCGTTTGAATCTTGTGCAAATTATCCAGAAATTCCAATTTAACTCAGTGCATGCTACAGTGTTTATATAAGAGGGCACTTGTGTCGCGAGGAATTTATTAGTTCATATTCTCACAGCCCAACTTTGAAACGCAAATTCTTCAAGTTCTTGTCGGAGTTATTTGGCAAGGATGGTATTGAAATGATCCGGAAAGATTAAGTTTTCAGATTATTTAAAAACCTGAAAATCGAAATTTTCATCGCATATATTCACTTTATGATTGGTAATGCTTGAAAGCTCGTCTGCACAACTCATGACAGGCCATCACACGTTTAATTATTTCGAAATATTTTCATGAAAGTTCATCGGCTTGTTCAGGCTTCAGTATAAAAACTTTTATGAAAGTATTTAAGAGTGATTTTTCTTCGTAAAAAGTATCGTTTTCTTTGAATTCATTTTCATATTTTAATTGCAAAATTATTGTTTACGAATTGCGACCAGGCCAATTGCAGGTGATAATATTTCATGTTTTCAAATTGCGGTTTTGAAAAGACGCTTTCAATACTTCGCGAAGAAGCGATATTTGTCTGTTTAAAACGAATCGTTTTGTTGAATGTTTCAAGCAGCAAATTCTAAGAACGACTTCTCCAAGAACGAACCCCGTATCTATATTCAGTCTATACAGCGAGGTTTATACTACAGAGCGACAAACAACACAGAACTTGCTTTATTATTACGACACAAGAACGACGTTAAATATGGCTTCATATATACAAGGCTACGATGAAGAAAGGTTTGTGGACAAAATCAATCAAAATTTCCTTTGTCAGATTTGTTTCAACGTCTTAAAAGAGCCGGTTATGTGTTCGAGAAACCAGCATTCTTTTTGCCGTTGTTGTATTACGAAACATCTAGAAAATTCTCAAACATGTCCAACGTGTGCTGATGAACTGACCGTAGAGACTTTGGCTGAACCTTCACGAATGGTAAAAGATTTTTTAAATGAATCAAAAATTCGTTGCGTTTACATCGACAGAGGTTGTCAAGAAGTTGTAGAAGTGCAGCATCTTGACCGCCATGAAGTTACATGTGGATATACACCAGTCGTTTGTACAAACCAAGGCTGTGGTTTAATTATCAACAAACGTGATCTTATTCACCATGAAAGTGAAGTCTGTGAATTCCGAAAGTTGAAGTGTCACTCGTGCGGAGAAATAACGAAAACTTTGGCAGATATGGAGGAAAGAATGGCGAATATCGAGAAGAATAATGTAACAATTGGAACTAAAATAACAAATTTGGACAAAAAGATGACAGATATAAAAGCAGATATGGAAGGAAAACTCGAAGCGGTTAACAACGAAGTGAAAGGATTGAAAACAGCTTTGGTCAGAGCTTTTGATGAAATGAAGGACGTTCTTATCACGATGGAGGACAAGAAAGAAGAAAACACAAGAAAAGTAAGAAATAGACCAAGTGGTGATAAGGAAAATATAATTGTTGCTGGAGGTGTAGGAACTAACTCTGTAGAAATGTTTAACTGGCGTCAAAGAACATGGTCGCCATTACAATCAATGCCAAAGAAACGTTGGGCAGCGACTTCATTTATTTATAACAATCATATGACTATAGCTGGGGGTGAATGTGGTTGGTCTGGAATTTTTGATGATATGATTGGAATGAATATTGACCCAAACCCTAATCTCTCAACACACTGGAGTGACTGTCCTTTTAAACTACCTGATAAGTTGAGATACCACAGCAGTGTGCTGTATAATGATCACTTGATAGTCTCTGGAGGTGATAATGGAAATGGTTCATCTGACTTGATCAGAGCAGTCCAGCTTGTTCCTCCCTATACTGTGAAGACCTTATCAAGAATGCCAGAACCAAGAAAACGTCACAGCATGGAAATATTTGATGATAAATTGTTGATAGTTGGTGGAAGAACAACTGGGAATTGGAAAGACAACCTCAGCAGTGTCGTACTGTACGATATAAAGAAGAATGAGCTGAAACAGTTGTCACCACTGCCGTATGAAGTGAGTGATATGGCAACTGTGAGATGGAGAGACAACATTGTTGTTATTGGTGGCGTTGACAAACATGGCAAGACATTAGATACAGTTATCATTTACAATGTCAAGACAGAACAAAGTCACATGCTGCCATCAATGAGATGTAAGAGGAAGGGATGTACTGCAGTTGTTATTGAAAACAACATTGTAGTCCTGGGAGGATATGATGAGCAAGGAGGGCTGAAGTCAGTTGAAGGTTTCAACTTTGAAAGGTATTCTTGGGAAGAACTTCCAGAAATGTCTCAAGCAAAATTCTGGCCCACTGCTGTTGTTGTGTGAACAATATGTAAATAAATAGGTTAATAAAAGATAGTGTATTTCAATCAATGTTTGTGATTACTGTAAATAAATCATAATTGTAATAAATTCTGTCACATTTTATTGCATTTGTCATATTCTGATATATCAATAAACATGTTTTTAAAAGAGATTTCGTTGTATTTTCTTTGTCTCACCGGAGTTTTGAAATCGGAGGGAAAGTACCGGAACTTTTGAAATAGTCTCTAAGGGATAATAGTCTTAATTTCTGGACACGAATATAGCTGGAATATAGATTCTTCTATTTCAATTTGAATCGTGTATGGATCGAATTGTATTTGTGTGTGAATTTCACTCGAAATTGCCAACAAAACAGTCGTAATTTATTTCCTTTTGAAACTAAAAGTTTTCAAAGACTTGACACTAATTTGAAACGACACATATTAAATGTTTAGGCTGTTTTAAGTTTGAGAAGTCCGTTTAAACGCTCGAATTTTGAATTTACCTGAAATCTCAAAGTGCTCGAGTGCTTTTGAGAAGCCAAGGTAGATTTTCAACTCGTACTAAAATATTTAACAGTGCAAACCTTCATAAAATATGTCAACAACACAGTGTTTGTTTACGAAATTCTTCCTTGTTTGATAAACTAAATCTTTCTCTAGAATATGCAGGCAGAAACGCGGGAAAATTCGTTAGGTATTTGGAAACTCCAACAACAATCTTCTGCACTAGCGAAAAGCATCGGTGAAGACGCTCCTTCCAGCAAAAACATTGAAAAACACACAAACGACCTTGCTGAACGAAATAGGAAACTTTCACAAGATATTTCGATCGGAATAAACGAGGTAGGTATATTAGTTTGAAGACTTAGGCAAACGTTTTCGGCTAAATAAGGTATTCAATACTTTATTACGCGTAAATTTAAGCATGTTTGATCCTTAAATTTGCCTGACCGAAGTCAAACTATTTTAAAATTAATTCATCGCACGTAGAATTGTATTCTTTAGGCCAAATTTAGTCGAAGTTGTTTCTGAATTCGATCATATGTATTAGCTGTTTAAATATACCCTTGTAGTTTACAAGATTTAAAGGTGAAATTTGAGGTAATACAGTTTAAATCGTGAAATTTTGAATTATATTTTAAACTTTTTAAGCTGGAAGCGAACCAGCACAAAGCCTTGAAAGTGCAGCAGTTGTTGGAGTCTGTGAACGATTGGGCGGATGACACGAGTGCCTTTCTTGACGATTTTAATGAAATCGCAGTTCAACTTAAACCAGGCGACGTTGTTGTTGACAAGAAAGCCGAAGAAGATGGAGATGGATCCGATAAAATAAACTATAAAGACGAAATATCCGAGAAAGATTTGGAAAAAGTTGATGAAGGACGTATTGAAAAGTTAAAAACGGCGAACGAACTCATACATAAAATAGCTGTAAGTTATGATAAATAAATATCTTGTGCGTGTATTTGGGAATGCCTTAGTTCTATTGAGCGAAATCCAAGATAGCTTTTTTGATTTTATCCATTAGTAATTCGAAAGCCGGGATTGTTTTAACTGAATTACCTTGACTGAGGCTAAGAAAGCTCTGATAATCCGTTTGGAAATCAATTTATAACAACAAGAACTCGAGAAATACAACGGAATTACAATGAAATCTATAAAATTTCTACAAAATAGCCATCAAGTACTGACGGGTTCCTTTTAGAATCTACTGAAAATGGTCCTAAATTTGTTTCCAAAATCTAATTATCATTTTATCAGGAACCTGTTCCTACATTCGCCGTGAAATAACTGATAAAGTCTTTAAAACTTACTGTGGATAAAATTTCGGAAGGTTTCTTAATATGTTTTATATCTTTTTGTTTGATTAATTCCTTCTTCAGTATCGTCGCGTCGACATCGGTGAGTACCAGGCTCTCGTGGATCGCGTCAATGAACTTCACGAGGAACTTCCGAGGGATCCCGATCAAACCTCCGAACAGAGTGTGCAAGTTGAACAGTTGAACACGAAATGGAAGAACTTCAATACAGATATCGATAAAGTAGCTTGGGTGAAAATACCGGTTAGTTTTGTTTAGGTTTCCTGCTGTAGTAACACTGGATCAATAAGAGATGATCCTTACTGGAACTCTAGGAAGAACAGTTTAGAACTGATAGAGATATCCAGTATAAATAAAGTTAGTTTAGTTTAGGTTTCCTCCTGTAGTAACACTGGATGGATAAGAGATGATCCTTACTGGAACTCTAGGAAGAACAGTTTAGAACTGATAGAGCTATTCAGTATAAATAAAGTTAGTTTAGTTTAGTTTTCCTCCTGTAGTAACACTGGATCAATAAGAGATGATCCTTACTGGACCTCTAGGAAGAACAGTTTAGAACTGATACAGAAATTAAAGAAGTTCTTTCAAATTTCTAGGGTCTTGATTCACTCCAAGCCGTAACATATATTCTTCACGATATGAAAGTTGACAAAAAAGAAGATGGCGTAGCTGGTGTGGAAACGTTTGAACAATGGAAGGAGAAAGCTTCAGACTTAGAAACCTCCGTTAGTGAAGTTGAATCCAAGTTCAAAGCTGAGAAAAATATCGACAAAAGCTATGAAGCGATTGAGGCTGTCCATCGCAATATCCGGGTAAGATTTCAAACTTTATATTGTCTTTTAAGAGTAGTGTTTTGTGCTAATCTTTCAGGACAGTAAATGTATTGATCTTTGATTCATTAAATCGATGCTTCGTTACATGGAAGTTCAATATTTATCTTTGTTTAACTTTAGGAATGTCAAGACGAAATTGACAATAACGTTTTGCCTAAACTCGAAGTGATTCGTCTGGCTGGAGTCAATCTTTGTTCTCCACCAGATGAAACAGCCGAGCCTGTCCCAGAGGAAATCAAAACTGAAGTCCTAACCACAGTTCTCTCGCTCCATGAAAAAATTGAGAATTTGCGTTCTGCGATATCACTCCAGATACTCAGGTAAGTGTTAGGTCAGTGACTAAAGGGGCTGTTCACATGAGCCCGCGGTTTAGCGACATCTAACGAAGCGTAAGATGATTTTGAGGTATTGAAATGAGTAAATAACATGATCCTGGTAGTTGTGTAGTCATTCTAACAATTGCATGTGTTTGTTTGGTTTCAACGAAGACTTATTTCCATACCTCAAAAGTATCTCACACTTCGGTTAATCTCAGGTAACCAGGCTCAAGGAACAGACCCTAACCGCTTTACAAAACCACTCCAGAAATACGTTATATATTTCTTTATGTCCGTTGAATACAAGAATCTTAAGTCTTTCAGGCAAGGATTTTTTCTTGGCAAAGTCTTGCAGTTAAATTTCCCGTGTCGTAACCAATTTATTTCTTCCTGTTGCCCTTGTAAATGAAGTATTTTCATGACCAGGTTTTGAACAAAACTCTTTGACAAAGAAATCCCGCTTGTCTCTGCAAGAACTAAGAATCCATCTTGTTAAAAATCGCTTTGATAGAACACAGAGTTTTATGTCCAAGAACGTTTAATTGTTGTCGAATTTAGCGACAATTTAACAGCCGGTTTCGTTGAAAAAAGCTTGTTTAGGTTCTAACTGAATGTTATTTTATATTTTTCGCAGGCTTGAAGATGTTATCTATGACTATTTTCACCAACGCGTAAGGTCTGACCAAAGTGATCTCGCCCAAGAACAGACAGAATATAAACGCTTGTTACCACTAAGAGATGACGTTGATACTATCATCTTGCATTTAGAAATCATCAAGGTTCATTGATTCTTGCAATTCTTCGTTATTTCTCCGCCAAATTTCTTAAATGTCGTTTAATTTCATGTAGTTGTGTCCTTGTTTAGCGGTTGAGACTCTATATACTTCAATACATAAATACAGCGTTGTTTTTTTTTGTTTCAGCAAAGCGAAGGTAGGTTCTATAAGAACGAAAAGAAGTTCAAAGAGTCGCAACAACAGTTCAATGAACTGAACGAGAAAAACCTAATCAACGATAAAGATCTTGTCACCTTCGTCACGTCCAAAATCAAAAATATCGAAATCCAAAGAGTCACCTTAGGAAATCTATTTACAGACATTGAGGGAAAGTATGTATCTTCAAATTTTCCTGTGATTTATGATTTATTGTTTTGAATTTTAGTATATGCTATTGTTTATCGTTTTTACAACGCGATTTATTGGATGTGTTCTAGGCTTCGTCGTAGCCTTTTGAACAAGTACAACGGCAATAAATCGAAATTTAGCAAATGGTTGAAGAATGCTGAAAAACGAGAGAAAACGATTGACACAAATATCGAGGGAGTTGAGAAGGCGTTTATTGAATGCACGAAGTTGGAGGTAATGAAATATAGTTTAGTTTAGGTTTCCTCCTGTAGTAACACTGGATCAATAAGAGATGATCCTTACTGGACCTCTAGGAAGAACAGTTTAGAACTGAAGGAGCTATCCAGTATAAATAAAGTTAGTTTAGTTTAGGTTTCCTCCTGTAGTAGCACTGGATCAATAAGAGATGATCCTTACTGGACCTCTAGGAAGAACAGTTTAGAACTGATAGAACTATCCAGTATAAATAAAGTTAGTTTAGTTCAGGTTTCCTCCTGTAGTAACACTGGATCAATAAGAGATGATCCTTACTGGACCTCTAGGAAAAACAGTTTAGAACTGATAGAGCTATCCAGTATAAATAAAGTTAGTTTAGTTTAGGTTTCCTCCGGTAGTAACACTGGATCAATAAGAGATGATCTTTACTTGACTTCTACGAAGAACCAAACCATCAAATCATACTGGAATTAATGTTTGAATATCTTTATCTTTCAGAGTATGGCAGAGGCTTTGCCTGAAGGTGAAGAAATGATGAAACTTCTGAATAAACTTGTGGTACAAATCGATATTGAACATATTTGGAGCCAGGCAGATCAAGAAGCGTCCAACACTGAAGTGAACTCGTTTAGAGATCGACACTCAATCTTGACAAAAAGTATGGAAGAGAAACGGACCTTGTAAGTACATTTGATCGTAAAGAGAGTTAAAGATCTGTGGATTTCGTTTCACGCGTATCTATTGTAATACCTGAGTGTTGCGCTTTTATTGTTCTTGATTTGTGATAAAATGTTTGTTTGTATTTGAAGGTTACAAGCGAAAATCAAAGAAGGTCTTGACCAAACACTTGGTATTGCCGAGAAGTCAATCTCTGATGCAGAGGCCTGGGATAAACCAAGCACCCTTGACAACGAGCTGGAACAAGCCACTGCGCAAATTCAACAATCAATGGTAAATACATCTTATCTGTTTTAGGCTTTGTTTATCCTAGAGATCCAGTAAGGATCATCTCTTATTGATCCAGTGTTACTACAGGAGGAAACCTAAACTAAACTGACTCTATTTATACTGGATAGCTCTATCAGTTCTAAACTGTTCTTCCTAGAGGTCCAGTAAGGATCATTTCTTATTGATCCAGTGTTACTACAGGAGGAAACCTAAACTAAACATATAACTTATTTACTCCACATATATTTTAGGAAAACGTGACAAATGTGAACAACATGTACACACAAACAATGCAAGCTTTGAAACGTCCTCAAGAAATCGCGCAATCTGGAATCCTTCCTGCTGACGTCAGCTCGGATATTGACGGAAGATGTCGGAATCTCACGAAAAGAGTTGGACGTCTTCCCTCTGTTGTTCTTAAGAACCATAAAAGGTGAATATCTTTCTCAGCAACTGTCAACAATTCCCATTAATTAAAGACATGAATTTGTTTTTAATTCATGTTATACCAGTGGAAATATAAATTGAGATCTTTGTTTGCTGTTGTGGATGAATTAATAAACGTTGAATGTTCTTTCTAGTTTGTTCGAAGCGTTCACAGCTCTTCTTCATGAGGTCGTTGACTCGCGAGAAGAATGGATCTCTCAGAATGAGGCAAACGTGATGGTGTCGTTTGTCTCCGTCGCTAGTTTGGATGATGTGAAGACGAAGATACAAGATAACAAAGTAACACTCAACCCAATTATCGATTAATTCATGTTTATGTTTCAAAATTAATGAAATACTTCTGAAGATTACATCACATTCAAACCCACAAAAACCCTGAAAGATTCTAAAAGATTCAATATTAATGCAGTGTTTAAACACAACATAAAGTTACGAAGTCTGTTGGTTAAGACAGGACCATTTATCTCAAGTAAAACGGTTCACACTGCTTTGAAAACCGTATGCTTTGAAATATACAACGTCTAATTGTTTTTTTCATGTTTTATTTGTCCAAAAATCCTAGTTCCTTGTTTAGAAATTCTTCGGTCCGTTTGAAGACGGTATTTTATTGCTGTGGTTTCTTTTTAACCGAGTTTAATGGTATCTTTATTTAGGAATTCATCCTTGAGATAAAGAAGCACGACATGGCGCCTGTTCTAGTGGAACTTGAGAAGATGAGCGATCCTGATTTCAAACTCAAGGCAACGTCCAAAGATCTTCAGAGTCGGTTGGCTGCCATCGAGAAATCCGCTGAAGAACGACAGCTGGTTTTGTTGTCAATTCTCAACCAATGGGAAGCATTGAGACAAAAGCTCAGGGAACTATTAGACTGGATCGATATGAAGGATTTGAAACTGAAAGAGTTGAAGGAACAAGTTGATCTCGGCGATGAAGATGAGGTGAAAGGTGAACTTGGTGAATTGAAGGTAATTCTCTACAAGATTTCCGTTTTAAGTTAGTTTAGTTTAGGTTCCTCCTGTAGTAACACTGGATCAATAAGAGATGATCTTTACTGGACCTCTAGGAAGAACAGTTTAGAACTGATAGAGATATCCAGTATAAATAAAGATAGTTTAGTTTAGGTTTCCTCCTGTAGTAACACTGGATCAATAAGAGATGATCCTTACTGGATCTCTACGAATAATAGTTTAGAACTATAGTCATAATATAGTCCTAAAGTTGTCTCGTATTTCTTTCAAGTTAATGCAAACTCAAATGGAGGATGAACATCCTGAAGTTGTAAACTTAAAAAAGATAGCCGAAGGTCTGAAGAATATCTTGGGAGAGCAATCAGACGCTAATGCTCTTGTTGACGAGCAAATTAAAGATTTCATGGACTGTTGGAATAACTTGGGCAAAGATATTGACGACAAAATAAGAAAGGTTTGCAATGAAGAAGAAATATGTATTCGCTTCAAGCGAAACAACAATTTATAGTTGTAATTTTAGAGCTGATATTGTTTTGTTTTGAGAATTTTGTCTTCTCGTTACCAGCTTGAATCGTCAGAGCGTCAACTGACCACTATGCACAGATACATGGACGACACTCAAGACTGGATGGATGATGTCACGGAAATACTTGACCAGTACGAAGCCAATCAACGACGACTGCAGGGTCTGCCTCCCGAAGATAAGCCGAAAGAATCCGTAGACGAAACGGAAATTTCCGAAGATGAACCGAAGGTTACTGGAGAGGAGCCGAAAGTTTCGGAAGAAAAGGCGAAAGTTTCCGAAGAACAGCCGGGTGTCACCGAAGGTGAACTGAAGGACGCCTCGGGAGAGCAGCCAGTTGAAATGACGGATGTTTCCGAAGTTGAAGCGGAATTGAAGGAACTTGACGAAGATGGAAAAGAAGAATTACGAGAGAAAAATAAAAGTCTGATGAAAGCCTTTGTCGTAAGTTTAAACGTTTAGAATTCCTCGCAAGTTTTTAGGACAAACCAGTTCGTTCTGTGAAAGGTTTCAGAGTGATATTGGTTTTGTCTTCACAGGAAAAACGTCAAAATCGCGCGACATGCCAAGCATTCGTGGACTGGGCCGGGGAATTGGAGAAGCAAGTCAATGAAGATCTCGACGATGCCTCCAAAGATGTCCTGAAAATACGAATTGAGAAATTCAATTCTTCTTGGGACGTTTTCACGAACAAGATCGAGGACTTCTCCCAAGAGAATTTGGAGGTAATATTTCACCTGTAAGAGATTATCCTTACTGGACCTTTAGGAAGAACAATTTAGAACTGATAGAGTTATCCAGTATAAATAAAGTTAGTTTAGTTTAGGTTTCCTCCTGTAGTAACACTGGATCAATAAAAGATGATCCTTACTGGACCTCTAGGAAGAACAGTTTAGAACTGATAGAGTTATCCAGTATAAATAAAGTTAGTTTAGTTTAGGTTTCCTCCTGTAGTAACACTGGATCAATAAGAGATGATCCTTAATGGATCTCTAGGAAGAACAGTTCAAGAATCACTTGTTAATACAAACATCTTTGTTTAGGAAATCGAGTTCATCGAATTCCAGCTGGCAGAGCAAAAGACTGAAGTGCTTCCAGAGGCCGTAACGTTTGAAGAATGGAAAACAGAAATTACCAGTATGGAAGCTTGGTTTGAGGCAATGGATGAAAAATGTAGTCAAGTCAACGTATCACGTGATACTGACAGTCTCAAGAAGGGAGAACAGGACACAAAGGTATGAATGGGAACATCGATTATCTCTGCTTGATATTAGGTTTCTGTGTCCTCGAGTTTCTTCTTATTTAAGAACCCTAAAGCAAGTGAATTGTCCCATAATATACTGTATTACTAAAAAAGCATTCTGCAGCCTTGATTTCCCGTTTTTTTTCGAACCTTCTTCCAGGTAATCGTAGGAGAGTTCAACGACGAAGGTAAACCGCGATTCAATAAGATTATAGTCCTGGGACGGAAGTTGATTGATGCTAAATCCCAGACTCCTGAAGAAGAGCAAGTGATAACCGTTACCATCACAAAGTTTACCAAAAGAATGATTGAATTGGAACGAGTTGTCGAGCTTCATAGGATAAGGTTAGTTCAACCTTCTGTTAGTTATCCTTTTAGTTGTCCTTTTAGTTGTCCTTTAGGTTAAGTCTCTTTGAATGTCTATCTCCTTTCTATGTTCACTAATCATTTACCATCGTGGAAGAGTTTTGCAATCTTTTGATATGGTTTATGCAATCTTTAGAACGGTGGAAACAATCGTAGATTATTGTAAAGAGAAACTCGTCATCTGTGAATCGTCTGTTGAACGCGATGAAGTCAACATGAACCAATTAACACCTTCTGGTTCAACTCCTGACGCTGTTCATGAACAAATCGTCCTCTTAAAGGTTCGTTGAATGGCTGAAGTTAGTTACCAGAACTGCTTAGAACTGATAGAGCTATCTAGTTTAGATTATTGAGTGCCGATTTGCTTTGTAGATCTGTGAAGTTGAAATTCCAAAACATGAAGAAGAATTTGTGGAAATTCAAACGTACATACTGGAGACACGAGAACCTGGTTTCATCACATCTGAGACTCAAGAAGAATTGGAAAAGACTTGCAAACTGGTTGAAAAGAGACGAAGCGATGTGGAAAAACAGAGGAAAGAAAGTCATGGAAGGTATAAGAACCCCTGAGCTACTAAAGTAGGTCACATCTGGGTGCATTGCAAGCTAATGGGTTAACAAGAGACACTGACAGATAGTTTTGTTAACTCATTAACTGACACCGAATGAATTTCTTTTTTTTTCACTTCTAATTCGTTCCCACAGGCTTTATCGATCAATGGTAAACTTTTTTGACCAACGAAAAAAGGTGACGCTGAAATGGTTAGGCAGCTGCGAAAAGAAGGAACGACAAATCAAACCCGACGTGAAGGAACTAAAAGACAGCAAAAACGAGTACATCAAAGTCAAGGTATTGACAATCATTTCCAGTTTCAAGCAAATAATTTTCTACTGTCAAGGCTTCCAGCTGGATTAAGCTCAAATTGAATACAACTTGACTGGGCCAATTATTACCTCATTACGAGGATTAATTAAGGATTAATTACAAACTACACAGGCAAATTAAGGGGCTCGTTAGTCTAGCTCGTGGTCAATTTTCTTGGGAAACATCTTTCGTATCGTTTATTCGCAGGAAGTCCGCTCGGAGTTTGATCAGGGACGCCAGAACTTTGTCGCCTTTATTGAAGTGCACAAACTTATCGTCGCTGATGAGGTGACTGATGAGAAGAAGACTATCGAAGTGGAAAGAGACGTGAACTCCATTTCTGGCAGAGTGGAACAAGTTGACAAGATCTTACATGAACAGGAAACAAAGTATGGGTTGCTGTTCTAAAATTTCACTTCATAAAAGCAGAATTAAACTAACTTTATTTACACTGGATAGCTCTATCAGTTCTAAACTGTTCTTCCTAGAGATCCAGTAAGGATCATCTCTTATTGATCCAGTGTTACTACAGGAGGAAACCTAAACTAAACTAACTTTATTTATACTGGATAGCTCTATCAGTTCTATACTGTTCATAGTCTTGACTTATTTTATATTTTGTTTCTTTTCAAGGCTCTACACGACATTGTTATCAACATTGACGGTTCTTTTGGACTCGATCGAGGCGACATTGAGCGACGCTCGAGGAAGAATTAAACCCGACGAGGCAATTTCAACCTATTTCAAAACAGCGAAAAAACAGATGGATGAGACAAAGGTAGGTCAAACCGAAGAATCTATTACCATATTCACAGCCTAAAAACTTTATCTTCAGTTTTGAAGGGACAAAATGAAGCACTTGGCTTTCAGACTTTCCTCAACGATAATCTATTTAAAGTTCTTCACAATTTTTACCATGAAATATAACCGGGTCCTTGAACTCGTCCTCGTTGTGCTGTTTAACATGAAGTATGATAGTATATAATCTAAAATTTCAATATATCGTCGTCATATTCAGACAATGGCCCGCGATATTCAAGTGATTCACTTGACTACGAACAAACAGTTGGAGCTAGGAGATGACGTCAAGAAGGCGAAGCTTCTTGGACCAGAAGACGCTGACACCATAGAACTGAGGCTCAGTGATTTGACGAAAAAATCAGCTGACTTGCAAGAAGCTGCCCAGAATAAAGACCTTAGGTAGGTTGGAGATGATCCTTACTGGTCCTCTGGGAAGAACAGTTTAGAACTGATAGAGCTATCCAGTATAAATAAAGTTAGTTTAGTTTAGTTTCCTCCTGTAGTAACACTGGATAGGCAGAACAGTTTAGAACTGATAGAACTTATCATCTTTATTGCAGAATGCGTGCGGAATATGTGATGACGTTCAAGACAGAGTTACAAAGATGTAGTCAATGGATTACTTTCCTGGAGTTGAGAGTGGAGAAAACAGCTGCCGAAGCCGAGGACTATCAAGGATACAAACAACTGAAAGAAGATCATATTGTAGGCATTTTTCTAGTGCAGTTTTTAAAATGGTTAAATTTTCCATTGTTAGTGTCACTAAAGCAAGTTTTGTTCTTTTAGCATTTCGAAGAAGATTTAAAGGTCTATGATCTTAATATGTTGCTCAAAGAGGTGGGCAAAATCGACGAGCTTGAACCTTCTGTTAAACAAGAACTTGCCGCTTTGGAAAAGCGTTGGAAGAAGTTGTTGAGATGGTCTGAAGAGAGAAGCCTTCGCTTATCAAAGATCGTTTCACTCTGGTCGAAATTCCGTGAAGAGGAGATCTTAGTATTAAACTGGATTGATGAAAAAGGCGAAGAGCTGAAGGTCGCTGATCAAGTTAATCTTGCTGACGAGGAAGCCCTTCAAGAACAATTGGACATATTTAAGGTAAGTTTCTCAGAAGGGATTTTAGGTGTGGTGCGTCGTGTTAAATTATTTATTTATCCATGAGTCATCAACATCTAATCAAGATTAGCCTCACTGCTAAACCAATCTTTAGTAAAATGTTTTAAAAACTTCATCTATATGAACTAAAATCGAATCGTGTTGTCCATGGTTTCAACTCGGCAAAATCATCTTTGCGTTTCCAGCGTGAGTTTTCTTTCTTTTGTAAAAATATTTAGACTGCTTTCTGGCATAATTCATTTATTTAAATCCTGTTTTTTAGGCTTTGACACCAGAACGAGAGGAATTCGTGAAGCGTTCGACCGAAGTTGAAGATATGGGTCATGAATTGAAGAGAATCGTCGGAGACAATACAAGAGCTGGGGATTTCATTCAAAAACAACTTGTGGATCTCGATCAAGTGTTCAATGAACTAATAAAGCAAATAATTCAGAAGAATGTTCAGGTGGGATATTTGTAGATGTATCTTTCATGAAGGTAGACAAACCAGGGGCCGGTTGTATCAAGCCCGTTTAGCTTAAACGGTGAATAAGTTCAAAATAGAAATCAAGTCTATCGTTTTATTCAACAAGCGAACTAAATGTTTTTAACCTTAATACAAAGATACTGTTTACAACTACATATTCAGTGCATAATATTCAAGTTGACTCATTCAAGAGAGATGTAAGAGTGTTATTTAATTTTGACTTATCCACCGTTTAAGCTAAGCGGGCTTGATACAACCTGCCCCAGGAGACATTGTTTCCTAGTAATGGAAGGAGAGAAATCAGGAGTTTTAAATATACTCAAATTTATTTCCTTGTAGTTGGAATCAGCGCTGGAGAGACTGCGATCCATGTCTGCGGAGATGACCATCGTAAAAACTTGGTGTAACGAAACTGAACTGCTTCTGAATGAGTATGACGTCATGGAAAAGCGGTTGCAAGATCTCAATGTGGGCAAGTCTGATCCACCTCCAGTGACCGGGGAGCAGACAGAAAAGACTGAAACCAAGAGAGAAAAACGCGCTCGAATCAAAGAAGAAAAAGCAGAACTGAGAGAAGAAATGATTCAGAATGTTGAAAATCTCGCTGTGAGTGTTTAGGTTTCCTCAATCAATAAGAGATGATCCTTACTGGACCTCTAGAAAGAACAGTTTAGAACTGATAGAGCTATCCAGTATACCAATAAAGTTAGTTTAGTTTAGGTTTCCTCCTGTAGTAACACTGGATCAATAAGAGATGATCCTTACTGGACCTCTAGAAAGAACAGTTTAGAACTGATAGAGCTATCCAGTATACCAATAAAGTTAGTTTAGTTTAGGTTTCCTCCTGTAGTAACACTGGATCAATAAGAGATGATCCTTACTGGACCTCTAGGAAGAACAGTTTAGAACTGATAGAGTTATCAAATTTCAAATAAGAGAGTCCTTATTCATTTTCTACTTTAGAAAAAGTTTGAAAAGCTGCCAGCAACCGACTTAAAGGTAAAACACGTCAACACGTTGGGGAATGAATTGAAAGGAGAAATATCCGACGAGGCAAAAAATGCTGTGAATACAGAACTCGAAGCTTTCAACGAGCGGTTCAATTCTGTCAGTCAACGTCTCAAAGATATGGAAAACAGAGATCTTCCTGAAGGCTCTGGTTGTTGGTTTGTACGATTCATGCGACGAAAGATGTTTCGAGCTTCAATCAATTAAATCTCACTGAGAAACAAGTGGATAGTTTAGTAATCTTTAAAGTAATTTCAAAGCACGTTAGCAACAAAACTTCATAAATATAAACACACGTAGAAATTAGTATTATATAGGTAAATCAATTTGTGTCATAACTGATTGTGTTATCGATTTATATCTTTATATTAAGCTTAGTTTTTCCTTAATTAAGCACTAAATATGAGGTATGTGTTAAACCAATTTTGTTTAACCAACGATATATTAATCGTTGTATAAGATGTGGTTTTGTAAGCTTTAGTTTCATAATTATTTTCAATTTATATTCCAAAGTTATGTAGCTGTTTGTTTTTTTTTTAAACTGGCTATGGCGTGTTTAAAAGTTTTTATTCGCTAAAAATGCAAATCTACGTTGACTTGCGCGCTCCTAAAAACGTGAAGATGAAACAGCGCGTCTACTTTTGATCTCGAACTAATACTTGTTTTGTTTCCAAGGAAATTGAGCGCACGCAAATTAAACACAAGCCTCCAAAGAATGAAACCTTAAAAGTGAAAGGTCAGAGATTTGAAATAGCATTCTGCTTTGCCGGGACGGAAAGTTCCTAATCAAGCCTTTCATCTTCATCTTCAGAGAAAGCTTCGTGTGCTATTGTGCATTATTTCTATTAAGTAACCTAAGATTATGAACGCTTGGCTGGTTTTTGAGCATATATATGTTTTGTCTCCATCAAAATATGCAATCATTGAAGTATGAAACGATAAGGCTTGTGTAAGCTGGTTCAAGCTGCTGGTTTTAAAAAGGAAAGTCTCAATCTCTGCATGCGCAGATAATTGACGATTTTCACTAATGGCTATTCTATTTACTTTTATAAGACTGAGCTATAGTCCTATGAAAGATTCAATTCCGCCATCAAATCAGGCGTATAATTAATTGCTGCAAACATACTTTGTTGTTATCAAAGTGATTGTCATTTTGCGTTCCAAAGCTTGCGACGAATACCTGCATCGTATCTTGATGTAAACAGTTCATCTCTGGCTGGTAAAATGTCCGCCACGCTGATAACTCAAATCCGAAGTAAGTTCCTTGTTATATGTATTTATTATCGACAAAAACAAAACAATCTGTACATCATACGTGTTGATACGTTGTATCCCAAATTACATTACAACACGAACGCTCAGGATAGATTGAAATCCCGAAATCTCATTTATGTTTTCAGTGTTCCTATACAAGATTCACCCGTGTTTTTCCTATGACAAATCGACAAACTAGCGTTCACATTATAACCTTCTATTCGGTTGTACAGGTTTCTAGAATTTGTAATGTTTTCAAACGCTTTATAATGTAATGGATGAATGCATTTGATAGTTGAATTTAAACATCGCTTGTATAAAAAATGCTGCTGGTACTTTTGAGGGTTTAGATTAATGCCAGCAGGTTCGTTAACGTAGAGCTCTTCTACCAGATTGGAAACGTTTGAAAATGGCCGTAAAGTGTTTGGAAAGTGATCGCGTGAGCTTTTTAACAATTAATTAAAACGTCGCCTATGTCATTGTGATAATTTCAAATTTATGCAAAAGCCTTTGTATGCATTAAGGAGCTGTGGGAAGTATTTGTCACAAGTTCTTCCGTTAAGGACGTTACGAGATTTGGTCTTCAATCACGCACGCTTAATGTCTTAATGATGAATTGGTGTAGTGTCTCCGAAATACTCCCCCCTGTCTTCGCTTCGAGTGTCCGCCCCCCTGACGCTATCGCTAGTTATTAAAAGGCTAGCCTCCTGCAGTCACACTGGATCAAGAAGAGATAATCCTTACTGGACCTCTAGGAAGAACAGTTTAGAACTGATAGAGCTATCCAGTATAAATAAAGTTAGTTTAGTTTAGGTTGCCTCCTGTAGTAACACTGGATCAATAAGAGATGATCCTTACTGGACCTCTAGGAAGAACAGTTTAGAACTGATAGAGCTATCCAGTATAAATAAAGTTAGTTTAGTTTAGGTTGCCTCCTGTAGTAACACTGGATCAATAAGAGATGATCCTTACTGGACCTCTAGGAAGAACAGTTTAGAACTGATAAAGCTATTCAGTATAATAAAGTTAGTTTAGTTTAGGTTTCCTCCTGTAGTAACACTAGATCAATAAGAGATGATCCTTACTGGCCATGCAGTTAAATAACAATTCTTTTTACTTTATTTTCAGAAGATCATGACGATATTCACATCAAGACATACACCAGGTGGTTAAACTGGAAACTCGGTAAGGTAAGGATGTTATATGAACAACTCTGGAATGGAAATACCGTATTGCAACAAACTCCTGGAGCCTGTCGCAACTGAAGACCACTTGAGTTGACAATGAGAGCGAGACTTACATCTTTTTGTCCATTGCAATCGTGTATCTTGAAATTAATAGGACCTACCTAGACGTTCACCTTCCCCCTTCATCATTTCTGGCAAGATAAAGTTCTAATGTAACTTCGGAGCTTATTTTAAAGGTCTAAGTTGCATTTACATATTCCCCGTTTCATATTTCATCATTTAGGCAGGACCTGTTGTCAAGAATTTGATCGAAGATTTACAAGATGGTCGTGTCTTAATATCACTTGCCCGTGTTCTGTTGAACGTAAAAATTGTAAGCTCAGTTCATTGCTTTGTATTTTTGTTTCATTATAGTTTTGTTCTGATGAAATTCAGATGGTGTTCAGTTTAAATGTTGCAACGTTCTGTTAATTCCGTTCGTGTTTTAGAAAGCAGAGAGTACTGATTCGGAGATTCACCAAAAAATCAATGTTCAAAAAGCTCTAGATATATTCATGAAAAACGAGGTGAGATTTATTGAGGTTTAACATGGTGTTTGTTCATTTTGATTTAAAAATAACGATGTTTAAATTTTCAGGTGAAACTGGTTGCCATTCATGCTTCGAGAATCGTCAGCGGTGATCAAGCAACAATTCTTGCTCTTGTCTGGAACATTATTCTTCGCTTCCAGGTAATTTTAATAGTTTGTCTCATAATTCATGAAAAGTTTTTGCACTAAACTGATAATGGCCCGTTCTATACTAGAATCAAACTGTAAATAATGGCCCAATTTATAAACTAGAGACGGATCATCGTCTGATCGAACTTGGGCAAGCAAAAGATAGTTCGTAATCTAGTTCCGTGCACTTTCTCCGACGCCCCATCAGTTTCGTTTAACATATTCGTCAACATAGTTCGTCTAGATGGTTTGTCTTGCGTTCATACTCAGAGGAATGATCTGTCAGACGGATCATTTATCCAAAAAGATCTAGTATAAATTCGGGCCAATCATTCAAAGTTGTTTTAACAACTTGTTATCGTCCTGAAATTCGTATAAACATGTCAACAAGTCACGAGTTACAACGTCTTTGCAACTTGACATAATAACAACATGGCTCCTCCACTTCATACCAGTTGGTTAGACTCATCTTCCGAGAGAGAAACTCAATCCAATACAACATCTTTACAGGAATTGATTTCTTAAGCCTTTCTTGATAGATCCCAGATGATAATGTTAAGATCAAAGAACGTCTACTTAAATGGGTTCAAGATGTGCTTCAAGGGTAAATGGTTATTCTTTAATTTTTATTCTTTAACCTAATTTAGACGTCTAGACAGATGCTTTGGTAATAGTTTATTCTTATTTTTATTTTTAAGATATTCCGATATAGTAATTGTCGAAGATATCTTGGAAAGTTGGCAAAATGGTTTAGCATTTATTTTGCTTATGTTTGTATACAGGTAAAAGACGAAATAGAGTTAGTTTAGTTTTTGTTTCCTCCTGTAGTAACACTGGATCAATAAGAGATGATCCTTACTGGACTTCTAGGAAGAACAGTTTAGAACTGATAGGGTTATGCAGTATAAATAAAGTTAGCTTAGTTTATGTTTCCTCCTGTAGTAACACTGGATCAATAAGAGATGATCCTTACTGGACTTCTAGGAGGAACAGTTTAGAACTGATAGGGTTATGCAGTATAAATAAAGTTAGTTCAGTTTAGGTTTCCTCCTGTAGTAACACTGGATCAATAAGAGATGATCCTTACTGGACCTCTAGGAAGAACAGTCTAGAACTGATAAAAAACTAACTGAATCATTTGGACTAAAGTAGTTGTATATTATAAATGTTTTGCAGACCAAATGTTGTTGACATTGCCAAAGCTCGGAAGATGAGCGTTGTAGCCAGAATGGAGTATGCTTTCTTAGTCGCTGAAAAAGAGTTTGGTGTTGATAGGTTTTTCGACCCAGTAGGTAAGCTTTGAACGACAAACTTGGAAATATTTTTCTAGCCGTCTTCCTCAAGGCGAACAGAACACAATGCTTTCATTTTGACAGATGTTGAACAAAGAAATTTACAAGAGGACTCTATGCTGATGTACCTGTCTGCATTATATGAAGTATTGATGAACCTTAACCCAGTAAGTCTTAGTTCTGTAAAACGTTGTGGCCCAGTGTTAGTTTTATTCTACAATTGTGTCTGAACTACCTGAAAAAGATATCTCAAACGTGGTGGTCCAGTGTAGGTAGTATTCTACAATAAGCTGTCGTGGTTTGTGTCTGAACTACCTGAAAAAGATATCTCAAACGTGGTGATCCAGTGTAGGTAGTATTCTACAATAAGCTGTCGTGGTTTGTGTCTGAACTACCTGAGAAAGATATCTTAAACGTGGTGGTCCAGTTTAGGTAGTATTCTACAACAAGCTATCGTGGTTTGTGTTTGAACTATTTGAGAAAGATATCTCAAACGTGGTGGTTCAGTGTAGGTAGTATTCTACAATAAGCTGTCGTGATTTGTGTTTGAACTATTTGAGAAAGATATCTCAAACGTGGTGGTTCAGTGTAGGTAGTATTCTACAATAAGCTGTCGTGATTTGTGTTTGAACTACCTGAGAAAGAAATCTGAAACGTGGTGGTCCAGTTTAGGTAGTATTCTACAACAAGCTATCGTGGTTTGTGTTTGAACTATTTGAGAAAGATATCTCAAACGTGGTGGTTCAGTGTAGGTAGTATTCTACAATAAGCTGTCGTGATTTGTGTTTGAACTACCTGAGAAAGAAATCTGAAACGTGGTGGTCCAGTTTAGGTAGTATTCTACAACAAGCTATCGTGGTTTGTGTTTGAACTATTTGAGAAAGATATCTCAAACGTGGTGGTTCAGTGTAGGTAGTATTCTACAATAAGCTGTCGTGATTTGTGTTTGAACTACCTGAGAAAGAAATCTGAAACGTGGTGGTCCAGTTTAGGTAGTATTCTACAACAAGCTATCGTGGTTTGTGTTTGAACTATTTGAGAAAGATATCTCAAACGTGGTGGTTCAGTGTAGGTAGTATTTTACAATAAGCTGTCGTGATTTGTGTTTGAACTACCTGAGAAAGAAATCTGAAACGTGGTGGTCTAGTGTAGGTAGTATTCTACAATAAGCTGTCGTGGTTTGTGTCTGAACTACCTGAGAAAGATATCTCAAACGTGGTGGTCTAGTGTAGGTAGTATTCTACAATAAGCTGTCGTGGTTTGTGTTTGAACTACCTGAGAAAGAAATCTCAAACGTAGCTCTCGTGGTTTGTGTTCGAAATCTTCACTACGTGAGTTTTTTAAGCTAAAACTAAAGGCCAACTCTAATTTCATTAGTTACGTGTAACCCTCAAATGCCCAAATTATGATGAATGGAAGGAAAGTGTAGCAGAATTGGAAAGAATCCTTGGCAGGGAAGAAGCGAAATTTGTTCCAAATTCGGACATCAAAAAAGAGTTCTCAAACTTGGAAAGACTTGCACAAGAAACAAAGGTAATATTGTACAGATTCCTGTGTATTCTTGGATTGAAGTTGTTTACGAGCAGAATTCTTCAATAAGCCATTGCAGTTTAAATTGGAATGGCAAAAAAAAGGTTATTTTAATGAACCATATTCCTATATTTTAAGGATTCTGGCGAAATTGTTGAATCTGTCTGTAAGCCGAAGTTAGCCACGATTTCGTCAGTTGGGAAGGAGCTCATTGACAGCAAAGAACTCGATCCATCCGATGATAAAAATATTGCAAAGAAAATAGACGAACTGACAGACAGGATCCAACGTCTTGACACAGCTGTGAGAGAAACCAGAGAAAGGTATGATTTTTAAAAATTGAATTTTAAAAGCAGATTGAAAACTCGTATCTTCTGAAATTGAATTCACCAGAATTTTTTTTAAACATAATACTGTGAAAGGTTTTGCCCATTCGCTTGAATCATAATTCCGTAATAATCATTTCGAATTGCGATTTTTCTAGAGTTCGGGAAGCAGTTCTAGAATACATCGTTAAAACTCTGAACGAACTGTCCGTTGAAGTGAAAGTAATGCAAGAAACATCCAGTTCTTTAAATCCTCCTGCGAATAATCTGCCCAGGGTCCGAGTGCAAATAACAACATTGAAGGTGATGTTGATGATGACGGTGGTTATAATTGTGATAATGACGGTGATAATGATCGGTTATAGTGATTGTGCTGTTAATGGGTGGTTATTGATGATGATATTGGTTTGCTTAGCGATGATGACATTGTTAACGATGGTAATTTTGATGATGAAAGTTGTAATGGTAGACAAAATGGGAGTTTTTGTGTAAATTTTTTTGTCTAGACAAGATGGTGCATATCCATCAGTGGCTGGTGCATATCCATCAATCAAACAACCAAAAAGAGCTTCTAAAATTAGTCGTATTGTCGTAAAAATTGGTTGCAAATTTTTAGATAATGTGGAAAATACAACTTGGCAAAGTTGTAAATTTTGTATTTTTTTGAACTGAGTTTAAAAAATTCTTATTATTTTCGGTCAAAAGCTGGTAATAAACTCATCTTGTTAGTAGAATGCCAAATCCAGAGCTTTGCAAGGCTAAATTTTTTCGCCATGAAAGTTTACAGTTTTTTATATGATGCTTGTAGCAGGAATATACATTTTCCTTGTCTTCATCAAAATAGTCAAAAATGTGACTTGTTTATTTAAACGGTGACGGCTGACGAATAAATAAATATATATTTTTTAAGTCATTGGAGCAACAACATTCAACGAGCGTTGCTATAATTCAAGACACAGAAGGAAAGGTGAAGAAAATGGTGGATACAAGTGTCATGACCGAAGGCGATTCTGCTGGGATGTCGGATGAGAAAGAAAAAATAAAAAACATTGCTGATGTTATTGAAGATGCCGAACCAAAGTATGTGAACAGTTATTTAGTAAACAAACTAGATTTGGTTTGCAGCAGCCGTGGTTTTTGAAGCCTTCGTCTTGAAATGTATTAATCAATTTTAGGCTCATAAAACGCTACATTGAACTTCTTCGAAGAGAAATTGAAAAACGTAAACAATGGCTGGATGCAAATGAAGAAGAAATCACCAGAAGTAAAGTTGACTTTAAAGATTTCAGCGAATTTAAAATCGTATATTTTCGAAATAAGGTACAGTAATGTTTCTCAGTTCCGCCGAAAATACAAAGAATGCTTCGTGTTAAGACATATCTACTCTGAAAAGTAAAAACATACATATATTTTTTCTCAATAATTCCCTGTATTTCTCTGCAAAAATCTTCGTCATCTGGCCAAAAAACAAGAGTTAAAGTTTCTGTTTAATTTCATTTAATCCCTCAGGACCTTGCAAAAGAACTGGACGATAACAACGTTCACGTCTTGATCGAAGAAACTAATAAATTTGATGGGATTGAACCGGATTTGAAACAACAACTCGTTGTTTTGAACGAACGATGGATTCAAATGGACGTCGCTTTAAAAGATAAGAATGAGTTGTATGATAATCTCATGGCGGACTGGACGAAATATCGTGAACAGCAACTGATTTTTTTGAATTGGATTGATGAGATAGATAGCGAGGTGAAGAACGAGAAAGGCCAAGTGAATCTTGTCGATGAAGATGAAATATACGCACATATCATGAAGCTAAAGGTGACTAGGGAGAAATGAAATTAGCAATTAGATTTCGTAGAGTTAAAATATGGATAATTTTCCAACGTTATTCAACGGAATGGTTGTGTTTTAAAGATGATGAAAAATTTCATAAATTCTTCGCAGGATGTGGAAAATAAAGCCGAGTCTGAAGGAGCGATGAAAGAAAGGAACTTAAGGGAAGCTGGTGAAGATTTGATTCGACATGTTGGTGAAGATTCCTCGACTGCTGTTGAGATTTGTAAACAAACGGAGGAGATTGTCTCCGCCAAACATGAATTCCTCAAAGATCTTAGTGTTAGAATCCAGAAGGTAACATTGATGCACTTTATTTATACTGGATAGCTCTATCAGTTCTAAACTGTTCTTCCTAGAGATCCAGTGAGGATCATCTCTTATTGATCCAGTGTTACTACAGGAGGAAACCTAAACTAAACTAACTTTATTCATACTGGATAGCTCTATCAGTTCTAAACTGTTCTTCCTAGAGGTCCAGTAAGGATCATCTCTGATTGATCCAGTGTTACTACAGAAGGAAACCTAAACTAAACTAACTTTATTCATACTGGATAGCTCTATCGGTTTTAGCTCTATCCGAGACTAATAGTTCAATTGTCTGTGAATTAGATTGAAAGCAGTGAACAGAAGACTCAAGACTTGTACAATGACTTTGATGACGTGACAGACTGGCTCGACGCCACGGAAAGTCTGATTGACAAGTATGAAAGCCATGACAAAGAAACTGCTGATGATGATAGTCCACGTAAACAGCTCATGCCACAGGATGAGGAGGTTGAAGAGATGGCAAGTGTTGCAGAAGAAATTATGGTAATCTCTACTAGACCTCTAGGGAGAACAGTTTAGAACTGACAGAGCTATCCAGTATAAATAAAGGTAGTTTAGTTTAGGTTTCCTCCTTTAATAACACTGGATCAATAAGAGATGATCCTTACTGGACCTCTAGGGAGAACAGTTTAGAACTGATAGAGCTATCCAGTATAAATAAAGTTAGTTTAGTTTAGGTTTCCTCCTGTAGTAACACTGGATCAATAAGAGATGATCCTTACTGGACCTCTAGGAAGAACAGTTTAAAACTGATAGCGCTATCCACTAGGATCCAGTGTAAATAAAACTAATTTTGTTTTTAATCCCAGATAAATTTTGAAAAGCTGTCAGAGACTGACTCAAAGGTAAAACATGTCAACACGTTGGGAAACGAATTGAAAGAAGAAATTGCTGAGGAAGGAAGAGAAGGTGTTGACGCCAAACTCGATGCGTTTAATCAACGATACAACAACGTTAGTCAACGAATAAAAGATTTTGAAAACAAAGAACCTCAAACAAGTTCAGGATGTTCAGAATTTGTGCGACGTATTCGCCGTAAACTGTTCCAAGTTTTCAAATGATCTTGAAGATGATTGGAATAACGCAGTTATCATTACGGTTAATTAAAAACTAGAGTAGTTCTTTCAAGCGGCCATGGAGACAGGTAACCATAGTTAGTTTGATGAATAGTGTCGCTTCACGTTGTAAAAAAACTGATAAATGGACGCAGGTCACATTCCTATCCAACCTTCAGTGTCGAAGGGCACTGTTTAGTTAGTGGACACTGTTTGAATGTTCAGGTCTGTTAACACGATCCAATTTTGTTGGATTCAATCCACTTCTGATGGGCGCTTTATAGCCTGTTTACTTTCAATGTATGTGAGCAACTAAAACCAACGCAGTACACTGCTTTGTTACTGGATAGTTCTATCAGTTCTAAATTGTTCTTCCTAGAGGTCCAGTAAGGATCATCTCTTATTGATCCAGTGTTACTACAGGAGGAAACCTAAACTAAACTAACTTTATTTATATTGGATAGCTCTATCAGTTCTAAACTGTTCTTCCTAGAGGTCCAGTAAGGATCATCTCTTATTGATCCAGTGTTACTACAGGAGGAAACCTAAACTAAACTAATTTTATTTATACTGGATAGATAGCTCTGTCAGTTCTAAACTGTTCTTCCTTCTTATTGATCCTGATGATCCAGTGTTACTACAGGAGGAGACCTGTTGTTTTGATATTTTTTCGGTGTTTTGAAACACTGATGGTTTTTAACATCAAAATAGACATGATTCACGCATGCAAACTCAATATAAACGACTGAACGGCTGAGCCTTAGTTAACCTGCATGACAGGCGGTCCATGCTAAAATATTTTGTTAACTCTCTGTCATCACCACTCGATTCGCCTGGTACAAGTCCGAGCTAAACCGCACGTTTTTATTTCACATTTTTTATTGTTATATCTTCGTTGATTCTGTTTTATTTTCAGGCTATTTTGAGATCGGTTCTTTTTTCTTTATTTCAAGATAAAAATCTGTTTGCTGCGTCTAAAAACGGGCAGTTTTAAGTGAATATCCATCATTATCCACTGTTATACCGTGGTGTATACATTGATGTCATAATGTACCCCATTCATGTGGCGGAAATTTTAAAATATATTTTATTTGTCTGAATTTCTGTTAAAAGTAAAGTAGATTTTCTTCTTTTTCTCCCCTTTAAAGAAAGATTAAAACCCATGGATGATAGAAAAGACACTCCAATGTTATATTTTGGCGAATTTCATGACAAAATCAACATTTTTAACCTTGTAATTTGTCCGAGTGCATTCCCTGATATTCTGCAGCAGATCTCTCTCAAGATAAACGTTCATAAACATGGGTTGGAATTTACAAATGGACAATCGAAATTTGCGATCTTGTTTAAAGGTTAGTTTAGATTCTATGACCCTTTAAGTCTAGTAAGAACTATCTCTTATTGATCCAGTGTTACTACGGGAGGAAACTGACCTATAAAACCTAAAAAACTAACTTTTTATACTGGATAAGTTCTAAACTGTTCTTCCTAGAGGTCCAGTAAGGATCATCTCTTATTGATCCAGTGTTACTACAGGAGGAAACCTAAACTAAACTAACTTTATTTATACTGGATAACTCTATCAGTTCTAAACTGTTCTTTCTAGAGGTCCAGTAAGGATCATCTCTTATTGATCCAGTGTTACTACAGAAGGAAACCTAAACTAAACTAACTTTATTCATACTGGATAGCTCTATCAGTTCTAAACTGTTCTTCCTAGAGGTCCAGTAAGGATCATCTCTTATTGATCCAGTGTTACTACAGGAGGAAACTAAGCTAAACTAACTTTATTATACTGGATAGCTCTATCAGTTCTAAACTGTTCTTCCTAGAGGTCCAGTAAGGATCATCTCTTATTGATCCAGTGTTACTACAGGAGGAAACTTAAGCTAAACTAACTTTATTTATACTGGATAGCTCTATCAGTTCTAAACTGTTCTTCCTAGAAGTCCAGTAAGGATCATCTTTTATTGATCCAGTGTTACTATAGGAGCAAACCAAATTCTACAGGTGAAAAACTATCAGTGGTAAACTTAATAATTATACTTGTGTATGTGTATATTTCTAGATTTGACCATTCAACCGTTATCAGCCCAAACAGTAAAAATTGTGAATGAAAATGAGGTTCACTTCAGACTTGAAGTTTCACCACCTGGGCCTTCAACATTTGAGGAACAGTTCTCGCAGGGTGAATTAGTTCCTAAACCCGACAAAGTGTTAAATATACAATGCAAAGAATGTTTGTCAGAGATAACACGGTGTGACAGGTAAGACTTAAAGGTCACATTTGGGTGTATTGCAAGGTAACGGTTTTGTTAACTTATTAACTGACAGTACTCTTCCACTGATGAGTAAAATCATCTGACATTAGTCAAAGTAAAATACTAAAGTAGATCACATCTGAGTGCATTGCAAGCTAATGGGTTAACAAGAGACACTGACAGACAGTTTTGTTAACTTATTAACTGACAGTACTCTTCCACTGATGAGTAAAATCACCTGACATTAGACAGAGTAAAATACTAAAGTAGGTCACATCTGGGTGCATTGCAAGCTAAAGTTGTCTGTATAGTTTAAATTAACATTCATTTGGTTTCAACAGAAAATTTTCCAGAGTTTTGGAACTACCGTCGGAAAATTGGCAAGAATATTTAGACAACTGGTGTTGCCATGGCAATGAAGCTATCACAAAGTTAAAAGATGGTTTAAACCCTCAAGAAAATTACTGCTTCTTTGGAAACTGGTATATTTTGGTTCACCCTAAAGCACTTGATGTTCAGAATATCAAAGTTTCAATGGTACAGACATTAAGTTAATGTAAATAAAGTCAGTTTAGTTTAGGTTTCCTCCTGTAGTAACACTGGATCAATAAGAGATGATCCTTACTGGACCTCTAGGAAGAACAGTTTAGAACTGATAGAGCTATCCAGTATAAATAAAGTTTAGTTTAGGTTTCCTCCTGTAGTAACACTGGATCAATAAGAGATGATCTTTACTGGACCTCTAGGAAGAACAGTTTAGAACTGATAGAGCTATCCAGTATAAATAAAGTTAGTTTAGTTTAGGTTTCCTCCTGTAGTAACACTAGATCAATAAGAGATGATCTTTACTGGATCTCTAGGAAGAACAGTTTAGAACTGATTGAGGTATCCAGTATAAATAAAGTTTTTGGCTATTTTTCCTTATACCTATAGCGAGAGGAAAGCTGTCAAATTCTCTGCAAACGTTGTCAAGCAATGCTGGGGAGGTTAAATTTCTCAGCCTCAGGTAATAAAAGCTTTCGCAGTTGAGAAATACAGCCTAAAAGTCAATCCCCATTTGAAATGTGTTGAGGTATTTCAATATTCTTTATTTTCTAGGCGATAATTCAGCTAAATTCTTGTGCAAGGATGTCAATAACAGTTCCAGCGTTGAGTTAAACAAACATTCAATAACGCTTTACAACGGTTCGTCAAGAAATATTTTCAAGTAAGGAGATGTTAGACTTAGCTGAGGCTCAGTTAAACGCTAATTTCATGCAAGGATTCATGACTAATTTACTTATTATGAGTAAATATATTTATTTTGAAATCGGATTTATTATTTTTATTGCAGAAATCTCGGTGAAGAAACGTTTTTGGCAGCGAATTTTATAAGTTTGACCAAGACTCGAATGTGTCACAAGTTTATCGTTAACAAAACATCGTCAGAAAAAAATAATTCGACAGTTGTTTTGGTAAGAGATGAGGGTTATTTTGCTGGGAAATGTCAATGAGTATCATATTCTTTGAAACTTAATATTTGATAGTTTCTTTACACTTTTCTCATTATGACCTCTAACTATTGAGCCACTCAGCCTTCGTAAATATCTATTATGTAAAGTCTCAAATATTTTGTTTAGATTTGGGTTCTAAATACAGAAACGAAATTCATTTCTTCCCTGTGTCAGAGAGAAAGTTCAGAAGAAAATATTGGTAATTTGGCGAAAATAATATATTTTTCAATTTATAACTCTTCCTTATGTCAAACGCGGGAAGCCTGATCTTACACGAAGTTTGATTGGCTCGCTAAGTTGCCTCGCTTGTATAGAGCCAATCAAACTTCGTGTAACATCAGGCTTCCCGCGTTTATCGTCGTCATAATGAGAACGTCTTACATAATTATGATAAACATAGGAAACTCACATTTTTTATCATTTTGACGCGAAAAATTTGTCAAATTTTTTTCAAAGTAATAAATACATGTATAATTTGTTGGGAAATTGCCGAGAAATTTCTCGCGAACAAATTATCTCGCATATTTTGGCTGCCTTTGACGTCACACAAAATGGAGCGTTTTGATTGGTTCCCGAGCGGTCGTTCAGTTTAGGCGGGAAAATGTGAAGCTCCGAGCTTCAAGCTCGTATTTTGTGAATTTGTCGGCAATATTTATACATTTTGATCAAGAATTCGGTCTCTTAAAATCGATTTAAAAAGTTTAAAGTGTTTGTGAGTAAAGTGGTGATATCTTGGGAAAGGTTTGTCGAGTTTTAAGCAATTTGAAATGCTCTAAAGTGCCAGGATATTTTTGAATACAAGACGGCATGTTTGTTTTATTCTTAATTTGTATCAACGATACAAACGTTTTAAATGCGATAGGGTAATAAATTTAGACCTAATTTTCATTATGAATTGTTTAGGTTTTCCAAGTATATTTCGTGCAGTGAAAGTCCTTTACAAAACCCACCTTGAATATGACTTTAAAACGTAAGTATTTTGACTATAAATCCTCTAAACTTTGCGACTATTATGAAGACAGTTGCCCACAACTGTCACCCACTGTCATTACCTGTTACCCACTGTCGTTACCTGTCACCCACTGTCACCTGCTGTCATTACCTGTCACCCATGCACTGTCATTACCTGTCACCCACTGTTGTTACCTGTCACCCACTGTTGTTACCTGTCATCCACTGTCACAGCGGCGTAGTTAGAATGATAATTGGGGGGGCCATATTCATATATTCGTGAAACGCAGGATTAATTTCTTTTCAAATCAATTGTCTTTACAGTCAGTTTACATGAATATATAAATATGGACCCCCCCAATTATCGATGCTGGCTATGCGCATGCCACTGCACTGTCATTACCTGTCACCCACTGTCGTTACCTGTCACCCACTGTCGTTACCTGTCACCCACTGTCGTTACCTGTCACCCACTGTCGTTACCTGTCACCCACTGTCGTTACCTGTCACCCACTGTCGTTACCTGTCACCCACTGTCGTTACCTGTCACCCACTGTCGTTACCTGTCACCCACTGTCATTACCTGTTACCCACTATCGTTACCTGTCACCCACTGTTATTACCTGTCACCCACTGTTATTACCTGTCACCCACTGTCATTACCTGTCACCCACTGTTATTACCTGTCACCCACTGTCATTACCTGTCACCCACTGTTATTACCTGTCACCCACTGTCATTACCTGTCACCCACTGTCATTACCTGTCACCCACTGTTATTACCTGTCACCCACTGTTATACCTGTCACCCACTGTCATTACCTGTCACCCACTGTTATTACCTGTCACCCACTGTCATTAGCTGTCACCCACTGTCATTACCTGTCACCCATTAATGCTTTGGTACTTGTCTCTTTGGTCTTTCCTAAAGTTTCAGAAATCCATAATTTTCTTTTCTTTACAGGATAAAAGATGAATGGTATTGTAGTTCCCTCACAGACATCATCACATTCCCTGAAGAAATCTCTTTGAAGCTTTTGTTGTGTCTCACACAAAACAACAAGACTCAACCGCCCTCATTGAGAACTGCCAATAGTTTTAATGTAAGTTTTCTACTTATTTTGAAAGGGAAAATATTATAAGTCTACTGTACTGCAAAGATGATCCTTCTACAAGAATTTTTGCTTGGATTTCCAGGTGAGTTTTTTAAAACTCAAACAAGCTCAATGAGTTGGTCACTCTTGCAAAATGTCTTGCTTTGGATTGGAGTGGATTTATGTTGATGTCAAGTTTTGAAGAAGGAAGCCAATGTAAGGTTAGAGGTTATACATATATTAATATATTATCACAAATAAATAAGCTTGGATATAACTGACCCCTGTTGGGTAAAATTTAAAACTGAACTGTTTGGTAAATTAAAACTGAACTGTTTGGTAAAATTTAAAACTGAACTGTTTGGTAAAATTTAAAACTGAACTGTTTAGTAAAATTTAAAACTGAACTGTTTGGTAAAATTTAAAACTGAACTGTTTAGTAAAATTTAAAACTGAACTGTTTGGTAAAATTTAAAACTGAACTGTTTGGTAAAATTTAAAACTGAACTGTTTGGTAAAATTTAAAACTGAACTGTTTGGTAAATTTAAAACTGAACTGTTTGGTAAAATTTAAAACTGAACTGTTTGGTAAAATTTAAAACTGAACTGTTTGGTAAAATTTAAAACTGAACTGTTTAGTAAAATTTAAAACTGAACTGTTTAGTAAAATTTAAAACTGAACTGTTTGGTAAATTTTACCAAAACAGCTCAGTTTTAAATTTTACATAACAGTTCAGTTTTAAATTTACCAAACAGTTCAGTTTTAAATTTCAAATTCAAGCTTCACAATTTCAAATTCTTCGTATTTAGCGTTTTATAAGTTGCATTAAGTCCCCACAGGCTAAAATTCGTGAACACGGCATTCACATTTTAACAATGAGTGATTTGAGTAGTTTTTCGGTTTTTTTGAGACACCCTGTATTCACTAGACTTTAAATGCTTCGATCATTTTACCGGCTGTTTACATGATCCTGCTTAGCCCAGATTCAACGAAGCGTAAGATGACGTTGAGGTATTGAAATCAGAGTTGGTAGATATGCAAATATTTGAGGCCAAATTGTCATTAGTGCTATCAAAAAAACAAAGAAATCAAAAGGCAAAGACAAAGGAAACAAAGAACTAGTGTCAGTAGTGTGATCTTGTTTGGCCTCAAATATGCAGCTATCTACCAACCCCGATTGAAATTAGTGTTTATGACGCAAACAAGCACATGCTATTGTCAGGATGACTATCAAGGTGCCAGGATCGTATTATCTGCTCATTTTAATACCTCAATGTCATCTCATGCTTCGTTGAATCTCGGCTAAGTAGTGGGATCATGTAAACAGCCCCTTATTGCTATAAACTCAGCTTAAATTTTGGTTACAAACTGTCGTTCCACCATGAATGAGATTATCCAGTTCAATGACTTTAAACTGTTTTGAATGATTGATTTGCATAATCGGTCAAAGTGTCTTTATCACAACCGACTTTGATACAAATAGTTACTTTTTACCGTAGAGAAACCGTGAACAAACTTCTTCTAGATAAATACTTTTGAGCATTATGAATTTCCTTGTGAAGTTGGCGATATTTGTTGGGTTTTATGCGGTGTTTCATGCGTTTATTTTACGTCGTTTTATTGCTGGTTGCGTGTGCCGGAGCCGCGTGACTCTCGAGGGAAAGACTGTTATTATCACTGGCTCTAACACAGGGATTGGCAAAGAAACAGCATTAGATCTCGCACAGAGAAACGCTCGAGTCATCATGGCCTGCCGCGATTTAACAAAAGCTGAAGCAGCTCTTAAAGAAATCGTCGAGAAAACTGGAAATAAAAACATTGTAGCGAAACATTTAGATCTTGCATCGTTGAAATCGGTTCGAGAATTTGCCGAAGACATTAACAGCAATGAACCTCGACTTGATGTGTTGATGAACAATGCGGGAATCATGTTTCTTCAGACTTTGAGCAAAACAGAGGATGGTTTTGAGATGCAAATGGGTGTAAATCATTTAGGACATTTCTTCTTGACAAACCTGTTGCTAGATTTGTTAAAAAGATCGGCTCCTTCGAGAATCATCAATGTCTCATCGATGTTCCATAGAGTTGTAGGGGCATCTGGCTTTGATTTTGATAATATGAATGGCGACGTCTCTTATAGCCCTTATGGGGCGTATGGACAGAGTAAATTAGCGAATATATTGTTCACAAGACAGCTTGCAAGACGTTTAAATAACACACAAGTCACAGCAAATTCGCTTCATCCTGGAGCTGTTGCAACCGAACTAACTCGCTATCTTCCGAATTGGATGCAAATGTTTTTGAATCCAATTTATGGCTATTTTACGAAGAATCCTAGAGAAGGGGCTCAGACCAGTATACACTTGGCGGTTTCTGAAGAGCTGGATGATGTGACTGGTCAGTATTTCGCAGACTGTGATCAGCGGATGCCCGCTGAAGCGGCACAGGACGACCAAGCCGCTGGGAAATTGTGGGACGTCAGTGCTAAACTTGTTGGGCTGGACACGAGTGATTGAATTTGGGTGATTTACCATCTCAAGGCCCGTTTACACTTGCGATTTCGGCTGCATTTTCTTCTTTTGATAGATGTGAACGAGTGAATTAGTTACGTAAGTTAAAATAATAGCTCTTATACCTCAGAGCGTTCCTAACTACTCTCACTCGTTCACATCTACCAAAAAAAGAAAATTGCACAGAAAATCGTATCTTAAATGTACAAGTGCAAAGGAGCCTTTACACAATTTTCTTTGAATAATAATGACATCATTCAAGAATAGGTTTTCTTAAAATAAAGGCGTTGATATAAAATTAAAACTGTTAACATACATTAAAATTACTTTAAAATTGAGTTCGAATGAATACAATTTCTATTATCTAAATATTAATCTAAATTTCTATTTGCTACGAACTTTTATTGTCCTATAAATGTTCATAATCACCACCTTCATCTACAATATTTACAAATATACACGCGATTACAAAATATTTTCAATCGTTAATGTCTCATAAAAGTTCATTGGTAACTGGCTGCGCAAACCTCTGTAGTTAGAATGAATTACAAATAGTTTGTGTAAACATTTTCCGTTCAGTTCTCAACCCTGCCGTAAAAAGCTTCATCAATTCTCCTGCAAATTCACAAATATTTATCAAGTATTCAAGTGTTCAGTCAACTTTATGTTGTGATTCAACATTTGAATATTTTGATATTCATATTATAATTCTTCCAGTCTCATCGTCATGTTATGATTTAAATGAAATTTCTATCGACGCAGAATGAAAGCGTTCAAAACATATCCTAACCTCCTTTATTAAATAATTGAATTAAATTTTTGATACTTTACCTATAGAGGTTTAACTACAGCAGTAGCATAGTTTCTCTTTTCTATCATTCCTGGCAGTTCTTTCCAGCCATCTCCACAAATAGTGAAAGATTCCACTGAGTTGAGACCTCCCTGCTCCTCATTCCATCCACCAAACACGACAATGACGTCATTCATGATCACGACAGAGCTGTTACTCCTTTTGTAAATCATGGAGGGCAGTCTCTCGCTTCGCCCTGTCTCTGTGTCGTACATCATGACGTCATTTAATGTCCTATGATTCTTATCCACACCACCAACGACGATGATTATATGACCCCAAGTGACTGTGGACATATAACAAACAGGCTGAGGTAACGATGGACATGGCTTGAACTTATTCTTAGTCAAATCATAAACAACAACGCTGTCAAGAGCATCTTTACTAAGGCCGGTTGTCGTCCCGCCCAAGATAAATAGTTTTCCATTAACAAGTTCTGCTCTGTGATGTTTTCTTGGCTCAGGCATTCTCGTCAACAGCTTGGCAGTATAAGGTGGGGTAAGAGCAATCTCATAAATGGCATTTGATGTTTTTCCTTCATTCCCGTCATGTCCTCCTATTATATATAATTTTCCTTGATAAACTATTACGTCATGAGCATATAATTTGACAGGCAGTTTACCATCAAACATTGTCCATCGCAAAGGATGTTGCTTCATCTTCAAAACTTCGATCTTGTCACTTCCTACTTTACCATCGAAACCACCAACGACAAGAACGTCATTGTTGTAAACGCACGATGCTGGTGCTGTTCGAGGATGATTCAATCGTGGCAGCGGAGTTGACTTTCCTTCTACTATGTTGTATTTCTCGACTGTATTTAATACTTCGTTTTTTTCTAGGCCATACCGACCACCAATGATAATAATATCTGGATTGTTGACTGGACCTGCGTGATTCATAGCGCTAGCACCATTCTTGTTTGTATTATTTCTTTGAAATGTTTGGTTCATCATAATCATTATTTTCTCAAACTGTTCTTTCATCTCGTTCATACTTTGCTAAATTAAAAATGAATTTTCTTTAATCACGCGAATCAGCCGATAATGCATTGATATCATCAAAGTTTAAATTATCGCCAGTAACCCTACCGCTAAAAAAGTTTCTACGCCGAGGTCCTAGGGAGAGTGAGAAGGTCCCAGGTAGGAAAAGTATTATCAAAGAAATGAATTACTAAAAGACTTGTCCTACCTTCATCTCTTCCTGATTTCTCTTCATCTCATCCTCATTTCTCTTCATCTCATCCTGTTTACTCTTCATCTCATCCTGATTTCTCTTCATTTCATCCTGTTTGTTTCCAATCGCAGTCACTTGAACATTCATTTGATCCTGACTTGCCTTAATTTCATCCACGTTTTTCTAAGTCAGATTATTAATGATACGTTTCAAATTTCATTTTTCAAGTACGATTTAATTTTTCCTAACTTCCTTCGAATTTAAAACAAATAATAACTGAAAGACTTGTCCTACCTTCATCTCATCCTGATTTCTCTTCATCTCATCCTGATTTCTCTTCATCTCATCCTGATTTCTTTTCATTTCATCCTGATTTCTCTTCATTTCATCCTGTTTACTTCCAATCCCAGTCATTTGAGCATTCATTTCATCCTGACTTGCCTTAATTTCATCCACGTTTTTCTAAGTAAGATTATTAATGATACGTTTCAAATTTAATTTTTCAAGTACGATTTAATTTTTTCTCGATTGCTCCTGAACTAAAACAAATAATAACTGAAAGAGTTGTCTTACCTTCATTTCATTCTGATTTCTTTCTATCGCAGCCATTCGAACATTTCTTTCATCCACATTTTCCTGATTCAAAATAGAATTGTTATTGAGATGAACTGGGTACAACTTGACAAAATATAAGTGTAAAAGACATTGAATAAATCAGAACCTTTCATTTTAACT